ACCTTGTCAAGGCGAGGTGAGCTTAAGTCAAGCTGCAGGCTGTCACGGTCATGCTTGTCCATGGTGTGTTGCCTACAGTCGCGTGTCAGATGTCCCAATCATGCTTGTTCATGACGTATTGTCCACAGCCGCATGCCCATTCCAAACCCCTTTACTTACTTTTAAGTTAGATAGGCATTTACTATTATTGTTGTGTTAGTACGGGGTGTATGACCTATCAACAAAATCATGTCTACACCCGTTAGGGCTAAAATGCTACAAAATGTACTATGAGGTATATGACTAGTAATCAATTCTTCCTATTCAGGTTATATGCTATCAATGTTGTGGTTGTTGCTTATTTTCTTTTAGCATATACTATCTTGTTCACTGGGTTAGAATAAGTGTCGCATAATCGCTATCCCGGTGCCACAATAGTTCGATTGTGATAAGTAGTATCAAAGCCAAGTTGTCTCCTTGAATCGTAGGACACAAACATGTTTGCTGCAAAAGAACTGGGCAAGTTCCAGGCTAATCAATTGGTAGAGATCAAAAATTAGTTACTCTATAGTTACTCTACCTATGTGATGTTCCTGATGAATTGGGGCTTTTAAAATCTCGCATTAATTTTATTTTCGCTAAAGCTGACAGGATCAACGAGCTAGCAGGTCGCCTTGAGAAACTAATGTCCATGTATTAATGGTTCGGGTCAAGGCACCAAAAGACTGCCACAACTGCTAGTGGCTCAAGCGTGGGGATAGCTCGACGGGCTCTGTTGCTTGGATGGAAGAACATAGGGAGGGCTTAGACAATACTCAACAAGCAATCGTTCAGATTGTCTAAAAAATATCTAAAATTTTGAGAGTAGCCTTTCGAGTGGGTAGGGATGAAGTGGCGGATTTGAGAATCAAACCCCAGTTTAAGTTGTAGTCCAATACAACTAGATAAAGGTTCTGTAGCACAAGCCATTTTATGGGGTTCAAGATGCCAAGGCTCTAGAGAACTTTATCTTTGACCTCGAATAGTACTTAAGGTTA